TCCTCTTAATCTAAGTGTGGGTGGCATTATTTACTTGGATACTTTGCATAACTCATTGAAACATTGCTTTAGCCATGTGGCTAAGGCACCCTTATAACAGAAAGTGGGGAAAGTACCCACAAGATTCACATTAAGCTACATTGTTTTAAAATATCATCCTAAAGCCTTTAATGGTGGAAGGAAAGAGGAATAATTTTTTTTTTAGTAACCAAAGGCATGGTTATATAATGAGGAAGTTCTAAAGGTTAAGAGGACTTAGTGGATGGGCTATCAGGCCCTAACCTAGTGGTGGTGTTAATAAACACCACCATGAATAGAAAGGGACTTACTAGGGATTGAAAAAAGAATATTAGGGAATGGTGTTTCTTTATGTCTTAAGGCATTTTAAAGATGTTAATGAGTGGTTATAAGGTGATCACTATAGATAGATGGTTTAGTCTTGGAGAGATGAGATCGTAATACATGTGGTATTGAACTACTAATAAAATAGTAAGAATAAATATGGTTTTAATATAAGAGGCTAGGACGTAAGTGGTACTTTTGGGTGTTTGAGGTGAGACTTGGATATATGAAACACTTGGATCAAGTGTGAAATTGATGTAACTTTGAGTTCACCTCTAAGGACTTAGCAAATACCCAAAAACCTATGAAGGTTGTAAGTGAAACTCTTCTAAATGGTTAAAAATGTGGTTAAGTGATTAAAGTAAAGTGAAAAATTTAATTACCTACACATAATAATTTTATATTACTAATTAAGTGTTATTAAGTGATTCAATTCATAGCCAAGAGTAGGCAACTTCTTCAACAGGTTTGGAGTAGTCCTGAAGCATTCAGCTTTCAGTTTGGACATATCCAAGTAGGGGCATTCTTTATTTGCAGCTTAGATACCACGTTCGTGCAAAGTCACTTGCATATCCAGCCTATTTCTGGGATTGGGAGGGTGTCAAACAAGTTTAGGTATAGGTATGGTTAAAAACAATTACTCAATATCATTCAACCTTGATGCTATTTATCTATGACTCAATTATAAATTTCTCTCTCTTAATTTATTTATATGTCAAATCTAGGTTGATTTGGGATATTCTTGAGGCATAGCTTTGACTGACTAAGAAACCAGGGGAGAGAGAGAGAAATATTGGGTTTAGTTGAAAAGTCATAATAGCACATGAAATTTTTAAAAAATAATTAATAATATTTTATAATAATAATAAAAATAAATTAGTATTCCAAAGAAACTCTATGTTATGTCTTATTATATTATTGTTGAAATAAAAGTCCTTCTTTTAAATTTAAATGTATTCTTGACAATTATTTTAAACTAAAGAAAATAAAATAAAGTAGAACTATAAAAGAGAACTATAAAAATATCTGTTTTAGTACACTAATTATTATATGAAATATAATTATTTGTTGAATTTTCTGAGGAATGAATTTTTATTTATTTTTATTTTTTATATTTAATTTTTATTGTTTTATAGAAGCTCTAACTGTAAGTTGGGGTGCAAATAACACTTTAAATTCTAATGAATCTGCAATGATTGCTGATAATTTTGATAGGCTTACATCACAAATACTTAGTGGAAAACATAACTCTATGTATCCTGCAGATTTTACTTTGAAAAGACCATTTGATATTGAATATGGAGTTGCTATATTAGAAATAAAAAGATTAAATTGTGAAAATTCTGAAAGTGTTTTAGGGATTAGTTTAAGAACAAACTTTAATAGATTATTAAGAAGATATCGAAATGAAATTATTGCAGCACGTTCAGCAAAATGTCAAATTACAAGTGATAATTATCAAATTCAATATTCTTATTTTTCCTTCTATAATAATGTTTCTAACATACTTCAAAGTATCTTTGTAAGAAATCAATTATATTTAAGTACTTGCAATAAAAATAATGATTTATCTACTTTAGATGCTGCTTTTGATAATAATATAATTTATACAGATCAATTTTTAAAATCTCAAAATGGAAAAAACATTTTATTGTTAGAATCAAATTGTAAAATCTCTCTTTATTCTGAGAAAAATCTATTGTGGAGATCAAATAATGATAATGAATATTATAGTTTATGCTATCTCAAGCTTCAACTAGATGGAAATCTTGTTTTATACACTCATAAAAATAAAGTAATATGGGCTATTGATTTATTTTGTTTAAGAGAACCATATTGTTATTTATTTACTTATATTAAATTACAAAATGATTGTAATTTAGTACAATATAGTATAACCTCAGCTTTAAATGAAATTGTTTTATGGGAAACTAAAACTTATTCTCATATTGGATGTATAAAATAAAATATGTTTTAATATTTTTTAAATGCTTACATGTTACTACATATATACATTTAATTTTGTTATCATTGCACAATATATTATAATAATAAAGAATAAATTAAGATAAAACTAAAATTTCTAGAGGCTAGATATGCTGTACGTTTTAGTATTGTTGTATGGAGTTCTCTAGTTGATACTTATAGTGAAATGAAGACATTGTAACTCTTTCTTCTCTAATATTGCTGCCAATATTAGGTACTTGATGCCGTGGTGGGTGAAATGTAGTTTCTTGCTCCACCATCTCTGTTTTTTAATGCAATTGCCCTTTTGAGGATATATTTCTAGCAAGTCTGTACAAAAGGCTCCAAAAACTCCACACCCTTCTATCTAAACTTCTCTCTAATCATATAAAAATATTCTTTTCCTCTAATATTCCTAGGGAACCCAAAGCTCATTCTTTGGTTAATATATGAGAGCTATGTTCATGTGCTATCCATCCTGCCCAAGAATCACAATGCTTCTAGCCAGTGCCTGACATTGCCTTAATTTAGATAGCAACTGCCTTGTGGTGCCTTGTGCAGTGGCTTTGCCCAGCACCTCTAGACAGCCGTCCAGCACTGTCTAGTGCCCCTACTGGGAGCATCTAGAGCACAGTTTGTGCTCCACACCGCACACAACACACAGCTTGCTCCCTGGTATTGTCTCCTTTGGCAACGCCTCTTTGTCTTAGCACCCAGCACCTCGTGCAGCGCCAAGAACTCTCTCTTCAGCCATAATCTTTTGACTTTCTTTTTTTGTCAGCCTCCTTGCACCATCCTTTTAAATCCAAGGTAGTTCTCACTAGCTGATGTGGCATGTCCACGTGGTCATGAGTCATGTCCCTTGAGTCATGTAAAAAGAGTCGAACTTTTTCACATCACAACAGATCCAATACCATGAAAAGTGACAATGCATTGCCAAAGGATATATCTCTAATATATCACATTGAATATATATAACCGTCTAGCCTACAGAATCTGGAAGGTGGCAAGACATATACCACCTAGAGAAAAGAGTGTATCACTAAACAATGAATTAGAAAACATACCACATCCACCTCTAGTGGTACTGCTGTGTCCAAAACCTCTACCATCCCTAGAACTTGTGTGTTGAGGTAGGACCAGATCAGATGATGCGCTATCCATGTGGTGTTCACACCAGCCACGGTTCTGTGAACGCTGTGTGCAGTTCACTTGATTAGCCGAAGCAGGAGTGGATGAGGGAGTTGCTGGTGGCTCCTAGTTTCAGAGAGACTGCAAGGTGGTGTAGCAAAACCACCACGGCCATTATCACATCACTTCCTCGGCGAGTGTGCAAAATCCAAGCATCTGTGTGTCCCAAATTGAGCCACGAATCAGGTTTGCTGTGAATAAAATGGAGAGGCAGCATGAGGAACTCTATCCGAGCAAACCTGAGCAAACCGAGATATCCTTGTAGTGAGCCGTTTTGAGCACCTGAACCTGATATCCTCTCGATGGACATCCTGGAAGTGCACCCAGAGCAGTCGTCTTGCGATGCCTTTTCTGAACATCACGTCGCACGGCAATGAGAAGCAACATGGGTTGCACAAAGGTAGTTTGTGCGACCATCTCATCTGGATAACCAAGCTCCACGAGCCCAGGAAACCAGCAAGATTGGTGTTCGGTCACCCCATCCTCCGTCTCGTTTGTAGAGGAAGTTTGATTTTGTCCGATCTCTGAAATCGGAGATGCGCGATTAGGTGTAAACGGTGTGTCACTGCCGCTCGCGATAACATGAAGGAAAAATGAAGAGTTTAACTTGGAATCAGCCAGATAAACTTGGACACTGTCTAAGAAGACTTAGTGCATAGCATAAATGGTAGCATCACCCATGGTGAACTTCCAGATTTTGCTGAATGCAATCGAACTGATCAAACAAGCCATGCTCTGTGCAGGGAATCAGTAATAGAACAAGAACGACAAGTAAAACTATGCAACTTACAAACCGGCGGAGACAGTGGAAGCTGAGAACATAACAACTCCCCAGGCCCTAGGTCCCACGAGTGACAAGGGGGTGAAACGTGCTAGTCATGGACTCAGTTTATCATTGCATTGTAGCTCTCGCGTTCCTCTTGTCGTCATGCCACATGCTCGCCATCCTCTCAACCTCGCGAAGCATGTTATTACCTGGCACCATCAAGAGAAAACGTCGCGTTAGCAAACTGATTCACTCGGAAGCTTGCAACCCTTTGTTATCGGTGTCGTCACTACGAAGGAGTTAGATCAGCGTAAATGGTGGGATCAACTCAGCAGGGAGATAAAGTAGGGTAAAAATCAAAGCAAGAAGAGAGAGACGATTGACATTCACTTGAGAAGTTTCCATTCCTCCGGCGCATTGCTCACTCTCGAGAAGAAATTGTTGTCCTCTGCGTTTCTTATACTTCTAAGATTTTTAATGTCATTTATTTTTTAAAGAATTTGCATCAAACTTATTAATCCAATTGATCAAATAAAGCTTTATTTGTAATTTATAAACACAAAATTAATTTTATTGAGTATCAACCATTAGATGGCAAAATAGAAATGAATATACTAAATAGGGTTTAAGAAAATTTATAAATTATAAACATGTTTATAAATTATAAATACAAAATTAATCTAAATGAATAACAACACTTAGATGGTAAAATATCCTAGTTTGCTTAAGCAAATTAAAAACTTTAAATAAATATAAGTATTATAAAAATCCTTTTCATCACATTTATTTTAAGGTATTTACTAATATATATTGAATCATTTTTCGTTATGATTAGCTGTATTTTTTTTTGTAATCGCTCCAAAGGGTTCCAACGCTCTTCCCGGTTAAGTCCTGGAAGTAGCTCTCGCTCCACCCAGTTGCAAGCTTGGCATTGAGCTTGGCCACAAAGCCTGCGCTTAGACTGTTGACATAGTCGAGAAACCTGGCAGTAACATCGTACCCCTCATCCCACCGATTCCCCGCCCCGGGCTTCACCCAATGCGACGGTGCCAGATTCGCCTTGAGCCTCACAAAATCGGCAATCCCCTCGATCAATCCCCCGGGAGCGCCCCCTCTCCCGTTCCACTGCCACACATGAGTCATCTCGTGGAACATCACTCCCCGGATCTCTCTCGCAACATCGCCGCTGTAATCCCCAACATATGACGCGCTGAGATGGATCTGATCGTTACTGGTGTACGCGACGCCGCCGATATCGTCGACCGTGAAGGTGATCCTGGCGACGCTCTTCTTGGGCGTGGATGGATTGGAGTAGTCGAATGTGGACTGGACGAAGGCGATGGCGTCGGAGAGGATGGTGAAGGCTCCCTGGGCGCCCACCACGGAGTCGAAGCGCCTACCGCCGGCGGTTCCTTGGGCGTTGTTTGCGAAGACGAGAGTGGTCTGGGCGTGGGCGGAGGTGGCACACAGCGAGAGGATCAAAAGAAATCCAGCAAGCTCCATTGAAATGCTTGGGAAATTATGTGAGAAAGAGTTTGTTATATAGGTAGATGATAGAAGAGACCAAGTGAAACACAAACACTGCAAGTCAGTGCGAGGAGAGAACTAACTTAACTCTTAAGGAGAAGAGAGTGGCAAGCACGGAATATTTTTTTAAGTTTGAACGAAGATTTGGAGCATAAGATTTGACTGCCCGTGTTTTCTTTGACTGGGCGATAAAGTCAAAGTCAAGGTGATTTTTCTCAGTTGGTGGACATGGGCCACCTGTGAAAGGAAAAGCTTGGCGAACTATTTCCAGCGTCGTCTACGCCGAGAACAAAGAGCTACAATGCAATCCTCCCAGAGTCTAAAATACACTGCGCAGTGAAGCCAAAAGGAACGACGCAAAAAATCTCTACAGTGTGGGTGAATACAGGTGTTTGTACGCTACCGAGAATGACGTACGCCGTGTACAGCGTACAAGACCACCGCGATGACATGAGCATACGGCTATGGCGGAAAGAAAGCGCGAGTTTTGGGCAGTAAAAATTGGAATGAGACGCGAGAGAAAGTCATGGCACATTATTGTACCCAGAGAATCGATCCATAGTTTTATCTTCTTTTTTTACGAATTTTACCCAGGAATTCCCTTGGGAGTGAGTGGTTTCTTTAGTGATTGTTTAGAGGAGAAACAACACGGTCGGGCAATCATCCTCTTAAAGGAAATGCCACGAGAGCTAGCTCTGGGCTCTCATAATTTATGAAGGCTGGGTTTTATAGTCCAGCAAGTGGAAGAGAGATGGAGCTTGAGCACTTGCATCGTCCTCTTCACTGCAGCGCTATGGCGATTCGTGACGGTCTACTGGTGGCGCCCCAGGGTGATCGCGGCGCAGCTGAAGAAGGAGGGCATTCAGGGGCCTCCACCCCGATTCATGGTAGGCCAAATAGCTGAAATCCAGAACATGAGGAGCGCCATTAAGGATCACGACATGGAAAGTTTCAGCCACGACATCTTCCATCGGGTACATCCTGCGTTGCTCAAATGGCGGAAGCAATATGGTATGTTCTTGTCATCCCTGATGAATCTCAAAGCTTCGTTTCTGATGATCATGGTCCAGGGAAGAGATTTGTGTCTGGTGGGGAACTGAACCAAGGAAATCGGTCTCGGAGCCTGAGATCGTAAGGGAAGTTTTGTCTAAGAAGTTTTCTCAGTTTGATAAATCGGAGGCCGGGCTGCGGTTCGCGAACTTGTTCCTTGGTCGTGGATTGGTTTCTGTTACTGGAGAGGAATGGAGTCATCACCGCCGACTCGTAGCACCGGCATTCTTTCATGAACGTATTAAAGTGGGTATTCATACTATTATCTTCTCATGATGTCTCGCTGATAAGTGTTTCTGATTCTCCTGTACAGGTACAATCGCAGGGTGTGCATCTCGCATGCTTGATCAATGGGAAGCTACGAGGCAGCAGAATCCCGAGATTGAAATCTCTGGAGAGGTGCGTAAGCTCACAGGAGACGTTATCTCCCATACAGCATTTGGAACTAGCTATCTCAAAGGGCAGAGGGTTTTCGAGATATTGTCTAAGAAAATCCCAGAGCTACTGCCCAAGCTCATCAGCTTTTCCTGGATTGCAGGCTTCAGGTATGCTCGATCATCTATTGAACTGAATCATAATCATTTGCTTACAGGTTTCTCCCTCTTCCAATCAACCTCCGACTGTGGAAACTTCATCAGTGGATTCTCTGATCACTAGGATCATAGACGAGCGTCGGAACTCAATGAAGTCAGGGGGGAGCAATACATACGGGAATGACTTACTTGGACTGATGCTAAAGGAGTGTGACAGCAGCAGCAATTTCACAAGCAGGGATCTGATAGAGGAATACAAGACGTTCTACATTGCGGGCCATGAGACCACAGCCATCTTACTAACCTGGGCTTTGATGCTACTGGGAGGCTATCTTGAATGGCAAGAATGTGTTCGTGCTGAGGGGGTAGAATGCACAATATAGCACCCCCTCTTATTTAGGGTGGGCCTCATTTGCTTATTTAGATTACCTTATTGCTTACATGCACATGCCACCTCATTACTATAAATTAAAGATTGTTCTAGTATATTATTTTCAACTATTTTTAAGTATTTAAAAGTACAAAAATCAAATATATTATTTATTCTACTATAACAGCATTATCTTGATTGTATAGCTTAATATGACTGCATAGAATATTAAATATAGCTTCCTTTCTTTCAATATATATTTTTCACCAAATATATTCTTGAAAGTAAGAGCTGTATAATCCTTTTGTTATACCATAGCAAGGAAGGGATTTTTTCACTGCATTCCATGTTGATTCAATACGATTTATATAAACTCTAGTCACGGGATCAACAAAATTCTGGGAGTGGTTGACTGTATAATGAGTGAAGTTCAATTGATTCAACCACTCTAAATCATAACCAGCCCAACAATCACTATATATAATTTTTCCTAAAAAATTAATTATAATGATTAGCTAAGAATAATAATAGAAATAGAACTTATCTGGTTCGACATATGTATATAATATATCAGTTAAAGTTTGTGTAGTACGATCAGCCACTGAAACCATAAACATTCGATCTGAATCACATTCAATTCCTCCAAAAACCCATTGACCTTCTACTCTTCTACCACGATTATATTTCCACTTACCAAACTTTCATCAATTTCCACAATTCTTCCTGGACCACCAATCTTTTGACTACTTCATTGTAATGTGATAATACAAATATCACGACAAAAGTTGTACCAATTTGTTGTCGTATGCTCACTTTTAATACCACACTCAATACGAGATTGATCTTGTGGCATTTTAATGCACCAACAATACATCACTCTAAGCATTTGAGTAAATGTGAAATTACTATTTGCAAACCATGTATTAGTTCTAAGAGATCTTATGGTATTGCAATTTTTACAATTCCACTTTAAACCATCTTTACAACCTCGATTATCAGATCGATATCTCATTGGTCGATGGCATCTTTCACATTCTCTCTCTTGTGGAAGAAGACTAACCATAATACAAAAAGGAAAAGAATTTACCCTACTATTAGTTCTCTCAATAAGATCAGAAAAAGAAAGACTACTATCTTGAGCATGATTTACATATTCCAATCTAGCCATAATACTAAAGAGAATGAATAAAATAAGAAAGAAAATATAAGGAGCACAAACATAAAACACAATGAATCGTAGGTTATATACTTATAAATTATAGCCGTTCATTCACTGGCTAATTATAAAATTATAGTCGTTAACATATCCATTAACAGCATCTACTAATTAAAGTTTAACGTTACTAATTTAGAGTTAGTCGTTAAACATTTAGGGTGTAGGGGCGTGGCAAAGGAGCAACCACGTAAGAGTGAGGGGTGCTGTATTATGCATTTCTTCCTCCTGAGGTACACGAAGTATGTGGCAATGAGATTCCTGATGGTGAGAGTGTTAGCAGGCTCAAGCTCGTACGTCGATCAAGATATCTTAATTCCAAAACTTAACGTCTTGATTCTTGAACAGGTGGGAATGATCCTTTACAAAACTCTGCGGCTGTATCCACCAGCCATCGAGATGACCAAGGAGTGTGTGGAGGAGTCTTGGCTGCAAGATTTACACGTTCCAAAAGGAGTATCTGTGTCGTTTCCAATCATTGGATTGCATCAGGATAAGGAGCTCTGGGGAGAAGATGCAGGCCAATTCAATCCGGATCGCTTCAAAGATGGGATCTCAAGAGCGTGCAAGCATCCCAATGCTTTCATGCCGTTTTCGTTTGGGCCGTGGCCAGTCGTTTGCAATGATCGAAGCCAAAGTCATTCTGGCTATAATACTACAGCAATTCTTGTTCCGGCTTTCACCGAACTACTGCCATAATCCTGGGATGAAGTTTGACTTGAAGCCTATGCATGGAGTGCCGCTTGTACTCAGTAAAATGTGATGCATGTTCGTGGCATTAGAAGTTTAAAAAAGTTATGTTTGTTGAACTACTCTGAGTTCTTGAACCAAACTGGTTGATAAATCATCAGATCTTTCATAGTACCTCAGAAATGTTTAGAACCATCGTGATGGAGCCCCAAGAGAGGTTTCTGCATCTTTCATCCACCACCGAGTGAACTCGCAGGCTTCTTGAACAAGACGTAGTTTGGTGTCAAGCATCCTGGAAGGGGCGAGGTGATCAAGCGTGAGATCAACCTGTCCTCCTAACTCCTAAATCCACCTCAAGCAGCGAGAATCTCGGTCTAGACAACCAGTGTCTTGGACATAGGTGGCCAAGCCCAAGTTAGCAAGAGCCTTCATATCAATGCCCACAATTGTTGTTGGGACAATGAATGCACCTAGATTGAGAGCAACTCTAGCATTGATGATTAAAATGGGAGATATCTAGGGCTAGAGAGGAAGCCACACCACCAAGAGCATGTACTGAAATTTTAAATTGCTGCCAAAATCCTAAGAATTGGTGATAAAGCACACCAATGATTGTTGTAATTGGTGTTGCCAAGATTTGATCAATGAGAGTGCATGGGCAGCCACTTGTCATCATAGAGGCCTATACTGGTCAAGCTTGGAGTGCATGTAAACACTAGATCTTGAGATATAAGCAAGGATGTGTATGCTGCTGCAAATGCATTTGGGAAAAGCAATTTGCAAGTAGTGAGAAATGGAGCTAAAGGAGCTAGTGGAGTTGATGTTGAGGTAGAGTATAGCTCTTGCATAGCTATTTTATGCTTCTTTTGAGCTCTTGTCAAGGCAAACTGCTGCTTGGGCATGAGAATTGTGTTCACAAGGCATTTGTCACGATCAACAATTGGGGCTGCCTCGAGCACTCTTTAGTCAAGTAGTTGTTGGTATCTTGTTGATATTGATGCCAATGAGCTGTTATCCATAAAGGGTTGTTGCTGCACACACAGAGGACACTGGGGTCAAAGTTCTAGATAGAGTTTCCAACACTTAGTAGTGTTATGTGTATTGGCTTTGCATTCCTCACACCACCAATAACACCGTTGAGTCTTACTTTGCATTTTGAGTGCTTGCAACTCCTCCACAAGCTTCTTCTACTATTGGGCTTGCTACTGCACAAGTGCCTAGTACTCCTTGAGCTCGTTGAGTGCTAACTCAATTGCTGTGGGCATCTTGTCATTGACAATATGTGTTGGCTGGGCAAAGACACATACCTAGGCTTGGAAGCTTGGCTAAGAATGGATGTCATAGCGCATGCCAAGCTTAAAGAATGTCCTTCTCCACTTCTAAGGCGTGGTCAAATGTTGCTTCACAAGTTTCATGTTGTTGTTTGAGGGCTTTGCGCTGCACTCCAGGCTTGAGTCCTTGGATGAATGTTGACACCATGGGCTTCTTATATGCTATAAGCCTTTGTAGCAAGCACATACACAAATGCTTCTTGAACTGGATAGTGTAGTCACTAACACTTGCGGCATTTGCCAGAATGAAAATAGCTCTATACAAAGTTGTTGGTTAGTTTTCTCCACTCCAAACTACTTGAGAAACTTTTCAATCATTGTAGATAGTGATTGTCACTCATCTGGAAGCAAAGAAAACCATGCCTTAATGCCCTCCAAGCACTAAAGAGTTAGAATTCTAACCCAACCTTCATATATGCATCTATAGGTGGCATCATACAAGATACTTGGTATGACTCCTCATGCTAGTGTATCAAATTCATACCTATATTAATTGGCTTGTCTTTCATACATGCATTATATATCATAACTTAGAAACCTTATTCCTCTTACCTTCTTAGTTCTCTCACACTAGATGATCATGTATAGGTGATTATGTATGGATGATCATATATAAACTCCTCCATACTTGACCTCACATGCCCTCTCTTCTGAAGTTAACTCTTCAACTAGGAACCCTATTCTTTTGATTTGTCAATCCCACTTAACAAATATGGTTTTATGCATAAGTAGGTAAGTCTTCAAATTCCAACTTCCATTCAAAGATATTTTTTTGAATATGTAGGAATTACTTCCTCAATCTTGATAGCTTTTGCTTCATAGCAAGCTTTAAGACCATACTTTTGTTATGTTACTCAAAATTTGTATATGCCTATGAACCATTTTTATTTGGCTTTCTAAGTACTAGCTTACCCAAAATCATCTTTGGAACATTAAAGGGACTTTCACTATTAGCTTGTTAAGGCTTTTCCTTTCAAAAGTTTTGTAATTGCCATTTAGTCTAACATGGACAATTTCATATTTTAGTGGTATCATGATTGCAAGTAATAAAACCCTCAAGCACTCATTTGATTCCCCACTCATAACTTGTATAACCACTCTAAGTTATATCTTTTTATTCCTATAATTCAATTCTATCCCTTTACTATTTTTTTTAGCTCTATGTGTTCCTTTTGTTTATTTTCCTCTAAACTAGGAAGGTAACTTTACACTTTTTACCTATATCTTAGTAGGTATTTTTAGGGATAAACCTACTTAATGACTTAAGAAGTGATTCATCAATTGGGATATACTCTACTTGTAATCCTATATACCAAGATTAATGTTGTTACTTATGGGCCCCCATATACTTGTTATTACCAGTGTTAAAATCCCTTTTGGCTTTATTCACTTTGAATAGACAAATTTTTAACTTTCCTTAACTTTGAACCTTAAGTAACACTTCTTATCCATTATTTTCTAAGGACTTAGTTTCTTAAGCCTTTTTTAGTCTCAATGATGGACTTTTTAGACAATGAATATTTATTTTTATGACAATGATCCACTATATCATAATATAAATAACTTATCCTTCAAAGGATATATCTAACCTCCTTGTTATTCTAATAAGAAGTAGTTAATTTTTATTATTCCCATCAATAGTATTAAACTTGTGCTTAGTTACCTTATAGTTATCAAATCTTATGATTCATTGCCAATGCTTTCACAACTTTGATCAAAACACTTTAATCTCCTATCTTCTAGCTTAAGCTTTGTAACTCCTATTTCCATTGAGGTTCTTTTGGTTAGTATTTCATGAATTAACCACCTTGACCCACTCAAGGCATTTTCTAATAAAATATTTAGTGTCTCCACACTATGGGCTCTATAAGTGATACATTCTACTTGTTTGCTAACACTATATTTATACTAAATATTGGTTAATCTTTCACCATCATATTCAAACACAGCTCTTTGTAAAAGTTTTTTTCTTCTATGAACATATTTTCACAACTTTAACATAAAACCTTCTACTTACTATTCTTATACTTGGATCTTATGATCCCTCCAGTCCTTGATTGAGCATAATTCATTTCAGTCCAAATGTGTTTCAATTAATACTTTGGAACTATCATTTTATTTCACTGAGTCACCCAGGTTTTAGACTTTACTAGTTCTGCAACCCATAAGGTCTTGGCTACTTTGAAGGTGCTATAATTTAAATACAACTTATTGTATTCATATTCCATTTATAAGGATCATTCTTATATGTGTTACTTCAATAATTGATTATCTTTTGTTTCATATGGGCTACTTTTACCCTTTAGAACTTTCCTTATGCATTATAAAAATGTTGACTCATTTTTTAAGTACACCCCCAACTCCTTGGGTTGTTCCAGCATTTATTATAAGTAGCCCAAACTACTATTTCAAAGATATATGTTCTCATTTGCATTAAGCACTCATAGTTATCAAATTCAATCTTAAATTCATGAATGTCATTCTCAACTATATAAGGATAATCTTACAACTCCTTTATTATCTAGGAATCTTTATCTTTCAAGTAATCCTAACCATAATTATTTACCACAATTATATTTAAGATAGCTTGCTAAGTTAAACTTTTATATAGATCATATCCTTAGCTCTTTAAAGAAAACCTTCTATGATTCCTAAGATCCCAAAGTTGTTCTTTTATCAATTATCTAGTATAATACCTATAAGTTCACATATAAATTAAAGTGGAGAGCCACACCCTCTTAACATGCTACTTCTTGAGTATAGCTCCACTCCTAGCACCTTCAAATGTCAATATCAAATAGTGATATATTTGACTGCTAATAAAAGTCAAATTAAGAAACAACTCTAATACTAAGTTGAAAGCAAGTAAATTTTCCATTCTACTTTAATCATTTAACCACACTTTTGACCATTTGGAGGAGTTTCATTCATAACTTCCATAGGTCTTAATCCCAACTTAAGGTACTTATTAAGTCCTTAAAAGTGAATTCAAAGTTGTATTAACTTCACACTTAGTTTAAATGCTCCACGTATCCAAGTCCCACCTTATACACCCAAAGCTACCACCAATGTTCTAGCCTCTTACACTAAAACCATATTCATTCTCACTATCTTATTGGTAATCCAATACATTGGATTACCAATATATATATCATGATCTTGTTTTTTCAAAATTAAACCATCTATTTATGGTGGTCACTCTATAACCACTCCTAGTGTAGTGCACATGAATTTGGAGCTGAACTCCAAGCTCATTGCGCTATGAAACAAGGGTCTAATGCAATCCCACAAGTACCAACTTCCCATATCTAGCATCTGCACACAAAATTGTGTCAGACGATATTTAGCACGATTTTGGCATACGAGTGGCTTACATGAGGAGGAGGGTACCCCACCAACTAGAGTAGTGTGAAGCTTGGGCTTAGACCCAAGTCAAACACAGAACAAAGAGTGATACAGCTTAGTGGAAGCCAAATTAATATTTCAGGTAGTCAGATATGCATTCCAACCACTATCTTTACTATACATTTGGAACCCCCCATAACTCCCCCCCCCCCTCTTCCTTAGGAAATACACTTTTGGGCTTTCACCCCAAGCCTCCCTTAGTACTAAGAGTTAGTCTCTAGGATAAGCTTAAAACTTACTAAATATGGAATGTCCTTAAATTGCAAATTTGGA